AAAAAAAAAAAAAAAAAGAAAAAAAAAAGAAAAAAAAAAAAAAAAAAAAGAAAAAAAAAAAAAAAAAAAAAGGAAAAAAAAAAAAAAAAAAAAAAAAAGAGAAAAAAAAAAAAAAAAAAAAGAAAAAAAAAAAAAAATGTATAATTTCGTATTATTTGCCTCTACTATTCTTCTATTTCTTGTACCGTTTTATTTTCCCTCTACACCTAATTAATTACCATTGGCAGAGCCTCAGCCGGAAGGGGTTCACCACGGGGACGAACTATCTACAGGCCCCGCAGCCTGTGTGCCGCCAAGGCCGTATACTGCGCTCAGCGCGGTCGGCAAAAGGGCACCCAACAACAACAACAACAACAACTAGTCACATGGCCACCACTCGTAGTGCTAGTGGTCAGAGAACCAGGAGTTGTGGTAGTGAACACAGGCCCACGGGTTGTTGAAGTTGTACTTGTTCGAGGACCACGGGTTGGAGTGATACTGGTCGAGGGACCACTAGTCGTAGTAGAAGTGCAGAAATCTCCACACCAGTTAAGAAAGCGGAAGTCAGGTCCTTCGGAGTAGTCTTGCATGACAACGCCACCAGTGGGATTGAAGTTCACGAGATTGCCGTTGCCCGAGGTACACACTTGATTTGGCGCCAGACCACAGCCGCATCCACCAGCGTAAAGTTCACCCGCGCCGATCAGATTATCCAATGGAAGACGATAGACGGAGTCGATAGCCTTACGGTAGTAGAGGAAACCGTCTGGAGCAGCAGTGAAGCTCTGGTCACCTTGAATATCCAGTGGAACGAAAGACCACTGAGGATTCACAGACCCGTCCATTGTAGCATAGGCAACGCCACCATTCACTCTAACGTAAAGTTTACCGAGTGCGAAGCGCAAAATAGTGGGCTCGATGAGAACATCCGAACCATTCAAGGGGTCAATTGGAGTCCACACTCCCCCCTGACCTATGAACCGAGCAATCCGCCCAGTAGCCTTCTCAGTAACATATAGAATATTCGAGTCTTGATCAAAGGTGACTCCCGTGTATTCCTTAGAAGGATCCGCCAGAGCTATTGTACGATAAGCATTGTAACTCTCCGGATCGAAAACACAACGTCACCCTCACTGATGCCGAACACGAACATATCGTTGCCTGAAGCCTCGATATTAGAGAGAGCCTTCTCAGCAACAGGTAACCATTTGGTTGCATTCGAGTCTCC